TTTTCCGTTCAACTGTGAGATCTTGCGAGATGCATGAAAGATGCGCGTCGAACGTCTGTCGCAAAAATCGAACGATTTGAACTTGAATTTCTTTATTTCTTAGCTCACATAGACTGGCCGATCTTTGACAGAGGAATATTGCTTTTGAATACCATCACTTAATCGAAATTGTCTATCATCAAATGTGTACAGCTCATTATTATGCATGGAAATGCCCCCCAAAATATTTTCGCTTTTGTCGAATCCCACGCAATGTTTGATGCCACTACGACGCTATGACCTTTGTTTCTCTGGTTTTTACGTTCGATTTCATGCATAACGTGTGATTCTCGCAGTGAACGGAAAATGGTCTATTGGAACCACACAGTTTATTTAGTTGGCTTAATCACAAGCGCTAAAAATGAAGCCCATATAATAGGAGTTTAAAAAAAATTACCCAAGTGTATGGGCATTTGAAAGTTAAGGGGGCTGTCGTCGCAACACGCATGCGCGAGATATACAGGTCTTGTATAAACAAAGATGGTGACTTTGACTGTTGCGCTGATCAACGAGTACAAACTGGGATGTTACCAAGCTTTAATTAGGTATTTTTTAGGTGATTGGGAGGTATCAAAGGATTCACTGGTGGTAATTAGTTCAGGTCACGCCCAGTTCAAACCTCGTACTTATGATTTTCTTTAGAAGAGCGCGTTGGATTGTGGGAAAATCTGTGTTTATCAACACAAATGTTGCACATGCGCAGGCGCGAGGAATCACCGCTTTTTAAGTTCTATTCTAATGATTTGATTTTAATTTATCGTCACCAGTTGCAGCACATTGTAGCCGAAGATCTGAACATACAAATAATGGAACTATACATCTCAGAAAAAAAAGTTGGCGGTTCGGGTGGAAGTCGCGCCAGTCAGGCGGCTAGAGCCGCAGCGGAAGCAGCCTATCAGAGAAAAGTGGAACAAATACTATCAGATGACCAAAATGTTTTCAAAATAAATTATGTAAGTAAATTGTGACTCTGTTGATTACTGGGATAGGTGTCACACATTGTGAAAGGCATGGCTTTTATGAGGCTGTTGGTAAACTACTACTGTGTTTATGGTATTTTTTTTTTGCCTCTTTGGATTTTGTTTACTAAATTTTTTTAACAAGATGGCTGCCAAAAAACAGAAT